TATTATGAAGAATGCAACGTGTTTAAAAATTAAGAGATTATATTCTTTTAAATTAATGGTTCTGAAAATAAAACTGGTCAAACTTAGTTCACACGTTGAATAAACTCTAACATAACTGTTTAGAGTTGAAATGCGGAAGACAAGAGGTTTAACGTCCACTAAATCAAATCTTCAGGAAGGAAGACGGTGTGGGGCAATGCTCGTTCCTCTAAACAGTTTAATTCCGTAACATGCGGACGCCTTCCCTTTTATTCTTAGAAAAATCAACGCGAGTTGTCAACGGTGATTTAGGTGCAACGTCGTGGGGATTGGGGTAATTGGACGTGTCAGGTGGGACGCAATTATTATTAGACTTATGACACCTTTTGAACTGACAGCGAGGATTTTAGTACGTCAACTTGTAGTCTATACCCTATTATGTAAATCCTAGAAATGAAACGTATGGTTCATATTAATAATTTTTAACCTGAAGTATTATTAAATTGACTTACCTAATGAAATTCGTTAATTTGGCTTTTATTAAATAAAACTCCGTGTTAAGTACACAACGTTATAATGATTTTTAGCAGTCGTGATTTCGGCGGACACAAAAAAAATACTTTTAACTCGTTTTTGATATTTCTACAAGTTTACTTATCACAAAATATAATTAAGACACACTAAAGATATATCGTATTCTTGCTAACCCCCTTGTAATTACAATTAATTATGTATCAATGCGTCTTTATTAAATAATGACTTTAAACTATGTACCCTCATTTTTAAAATCCTAATCTCACACGTCTACAAACAGTGCAACGTAAAAGAAAATTATAACGATTCATCTCTTCACGACATCGAATAAATCCTCGCTCGAGTTTAATTCTTTGAAATCGTAAGATTCTGTCAAAACCGAAGACGTTTTTATTACTACGCCGTCTACGACATTAATAGGACATAGACGCAGAAATAGCGTCTATATGTTATGTCGTATCTTGTGGTAAAAACATATGTTTATTAGTTATATCGCCTTTGGTGGCCTAGAATTACTAAACACTTATACGTTTTTAGCTAGAAAATTAATTATGTACGGGACTTCCGTTTACGATTTCCAACCCACATTTCAATAGAGAGGGCGGCCTCAATATATGACAGACGCCGGGAGTCCCAAAATAAAAACACTAGACCCTAAAAAACATAATACCGATAAACTAGAAGACTCCGTGGTGTCTAGTAAATAGTTCGAGTTCTGTAACGATCCAGCTAGTTTCTCCAAACACCAACTACGACGAAACAGATGGCGCTAGCGTAGCAGTTTTTACTTTGACATTAGGGACAACCTCTATCGTTAGTCCCTCGGTGACCACGGCTGATGTAAAGCATTCGAAACGTTGGGCAGTAGTTTAATTAAAACTTCAACTAATATATTTCGTGTCATAAACCGTTAAAAATGTTCCATGTAAATGTGTAGGTAGGTACTCCTCTTTTAAACAGACGATATTCAGTTCATCCCTCCCCCCCCCCATAACCAGCATTGTGGCTGTCCAAGCTGAGGTCGACGCACCCTTGGGTCTAGCCGCAAACACGGTTAATATTAGAGGCCCCGGGGCTCAATACGCAACAATCCATCAAAAAAACAACAATTCATTTGCCATATGATTTCTCGCTATTACAGCTTGAAAACCTTAAGTGTTTGTCCAAGTTTGTCTCTCTGTCTGTACACTGGAATTTTTGAGTTTCGACAAACTGTGCTTAATAATAATTGGTGTTAATAAGTGATTGTAGGTAGTAATCTATTATAAATAAAATTTTACCTAATTTGTTCGCACTTCTACTACACTTGTTTAAACAGAATACAGTAGATAAATACATACACGCTCATTTCTTTCATCTAAAGAAACAACACTGAATGACTTAGTAACTAATAATATGTACATTATACATACACGTGTAAAATATCACAATAAAAATCGGCTGATTGCATTACAACGAACGTTATAGAGTAGGTCACAGAGTAATAACTTTATTGTTATAACAATCAAAATAGCAATAAAGGTAAATTAAAAATCTATCTAATCACTAAATCGATAGAAAAGATAAGGCAAGGTAAGGGCAACATGTGTCAAAACCCCTTAAAATGCAAAACATATGTGTAACGCTGATTTAAAAAAGTTTTACTAGAATTCAGTTGCACAGAGAGCTTGTAGACATTATTATATAGACCGATGTTGACACACATATCCATTCTAGAATCATGCAAGTCTATATGCGTCCTTAGATTCTTTACATGGGTACAAAATAGTTTTATTTGTAAGAAGGAAGAGAATATGTTATTAATTCAGAGTAGATGAAAAAATTAAGATGTGCACGGTACACACTGAAAACTCCATTAAATGATAATCAAGTTCGGATAATCGTCTGTAAAAAAGCGATCTTTTGAACTCCTTTCTGCGTTCCTCATGAATGTTTGTGTGGATTAAGAAAAATATTGGGCTCGATGCGGGCTTAAAATATCTCCGGCTTAGCGTCGATCTTTTATTGAACCAGAAGCAACTTTGGATGAAAAACTGATGGAATGGATTGATGGAGTTTATACTAACACTTTTAATACGTACATCAATATGGATTTTTTTAGATTATTACAAGCAAAAAGTAAACGTGTGTAAGATAGAACTATTTCTTATATATCCTATTCATTGCGCTAGAAAGATGTTAGGATTATTTTGATTACTACTAATTGTTTTATTCACACAAAAGTTTAAATGCAGTCTGTTATGCCTCTAGTAACATACACATAATTCTTTAGACGTACGACCGAAGACCAGATCTATTGTATGTTTTATTACATAAATCTTATGTTAATCTTATTGATTAGAATAAACTTGGCTAGGATATTATGTATACACTGAAACTTATAATTACGCCCGCTTATGTATATTATAAATAGAAGATCACCGTTCAAGTCTATGTGCTCTATCGATACAAAGAAATGCCTTTTTACAATTTATTGGATATATTTTCCTGTTATAATGATACCTACAGCTATCAGTATGTCCCGGCCGACCATTTGTCTTTCGCTTCAGACATTTATTTGAATTTCAACGTCGCAATAAAATGCTAAACAGTAATATTTTCTATGTGTTGAGACATTTTCAGGTTGTTCATTCAGAAGAGCTTTTTGTATTTACAGAGATCAAGACAATACCTAAACTGGAGTAGACATTATTTGTAAAAATATTTATATGCATCAAAGCTTTAATACCGTTCGTATCGATAGATATTTAATTTTAAAACAACAAAGATTTTATACATTATTTTATTATACTTTTTTTTAAACTAATCGACTGTTTTCAAATGCCAGCGGTATTTAGCGTATCCTCCGCGTATTTTTTACTTGTTCCTCTACCCTCAATTTTTAAATTCCAAAAACGTGCTATTATTGATTTTTAAACAGTTATCTAAAAAAATACTTCGCACAAAGTAATAAGAAATTTGAGAAATGCGTTAACAAATATTTAATAATTATGATTTCGGTGCCTAGTACAGTTAAAAACAGGTTTCACTAAGGTTTTCCTTTTTTACTTTTAATTTAGGTAGGTAGGTAGGAACATAAAGTGGTCACAGAGTAGGTTTTAACATTTAGTTTCATAGAGTACAATACTTTTAAACATGTATCACGATATTGCGATTAATATTACGACTTTTAACTTTTTGTACCATATTTAACGTTTCTCGGGTTTTTTAAACCTAAGTCGTGCTACATAAATATTTTCGCTCTTTTATTTTTTCATCAGGCCGTTAATAATTCTAACAGCTTGGATTCGAGCATATGTTTAATCTAGCACTACATGCATGCATGACATTGCTGACGAATTTTAGGTAAAAACATTACGCTACGATATTTTCTGTTGTTGGTCTATGCACGGGAATTATCACATCAGAGCTCAAAGCCTAACATTACTCAATTGAAATTAGGCAGGTTATAAGCGCTGAACAATTGCGCATACAAACAAATAGAATGAAATCTAGTAAATATGAATTGCTTTTAGTGTTTGGTAAGATGATAACGTTTAAAATAAAAAAAAATACCCACCCTGTTATAGATTTGTTAATTTTTATTTGCTAAAGTATTTAGATATATAAATGTCATAATATTTAATTTATTAATCTATAATTTTGGTTTCTTTATGCGATTAAATAATAATCCCATATTCCCTATTCCCTGCACCTGTTTCACTTTAATTTCATTCACTAGAAAGTACTTAGTTTACAAGATTTCTTAGTCACACATCATCAAAACAAATTGTATTTCCTCAGCGTTCGAACAAAGGATTTTACCACTGATCCATGTCGGTGGTTAAGATTAATACAAGTAGGTACCTTTATTTTTAAATAAATACTTTAACGGTTTAAAATGCGGCTTAAATGTTAAACTAAGTACCTTTATTACCTAGGAATAGATAATATATATAGTGTCTGCCATTATAATATATCATGTTGTCGTAAAAACTTTATGTAGATATCTACGCAACGTACCAAGGTGATAATAAACATATTCTGAAATATTCTAGTGTAACTGGGGAAGGCATTAAATATTAAATGCTTATGCCGTTTCTAGATGCACTGAAGGAATAATATCTATAAAATAATGTCTTTTTAAGAATATGACAACAACAAACAACGAACGGTTCTCGTTTAGGAATCAAAAGCCAAAAATCTATTCAGTAGATACCAAATATTTTATAATTTATATATTTTGTGCGTGTATGGTTTTAATAGCAAGCAATTGTTTTGTTAAAAATATTACAAATCAAATATTTATTAAGGATCATCATTATTAAGATAATCTTTTTCAACTAAATTAATTTACCGATTTCTTCTCTTCCAAGAATTATAAATAAAATTATGTAGCAATAAGTTCCTATGGAAGATTCATTAGAAGGTAGACAGCCTTTAACTCTTTATTGATTAAAATCTAGCTGTCTACAACTATTTAAAAATAAAAAACAAAATCTACTTACTTAGAAATTTGCAACAAATCCACAAATTCCACTCCTGCGCACCAGTCACGCCTGTTGCCGTATATATTTAATATAAAAATATCTAGGCGGGAATCGGATCATAAAAATATAAATATTTTAGGATCGACGCGTTCGCGCTAAGCCCCGTCTGTCCATTGACGTATACGTTTCAAACTAAATTCGGTGCAGCCAATATTCCGCGGTTCTGTAAACATCGGCGTCGAAAGATGCCCAGTTTATCGTGACCTGCGAATTATTAAAATAAAATTGATGTTTGTTTGATCGCGCTTATCTCGTGAACTACTGGTCTGAAGTGAACGATCCTTTCAGTTTAATACATTACTTTTATCTAAGAATATACAGAACAACACGACACTGGCATGATAACCAATATGAGTACAGTGCATTAAAAAAATCATCTTTTAAAGAACTACAATAGCGAAAAACTGATTTAAATTTGGTTATACTATATTATTTTTCATGTGAACTTACTTGGAAAAGTAAGATATTAATGAAATACTACCTAAATGTTTAACGGATTAAAACACGATACATTAGTTAAACTTATTTGAGATACGGCTTCTGCAAGGCATCTGACACGTCGGGCCGAAGTTAAAAATCATTTTTCAAATAAGTTTAACTAATATATCGCGCTTAAAACCGTTAAAGTGAAATTAAAGTAATGAAAAAAATGTTTAATAATAAAATTATAAATATTTAATATTTTACATCAGGTATTACTTCGTACAGCGTATCTAGTCACTTTATACAAGTGTTCTACGCCGAGGCTCACAGCAAACTGGTTGCTATATTCCTCGGCCAAATAATTTTTACATATCAAGTGATTCTTAAACACCTGTGTTACAGGCTATAATCGTTCGAGTGGTTTAACGCTAAGTTTGTTCTGTTTCGGGCACACTGAGTCAGCGGTGATGAGGAAATACGCGCAACTTATAATTTCGGATCGGCCGACATTGTTTAATGGTTTTATAAATCTGAACCGAATGAGTTTCCGTCGGAAATTCATATTTTGCTTCGAATATCGATTTAGCAAGAATTACGTACCCGCGGCAGTTTACGTGCACGGAAAATTGTATATATATGTATAGGCAAGATGTTTAGTTTTGAGTCACAAACGGCTCAGCCAAATTTATAAAATGTCATACAATGTTAATGACTCAAAGACTAATTTATATCACTACTAGCTGTGTCAACAGCTTCGTCCGCGTAGAATAGTTATTTTAGGCAGTAAAATTTGTTTTACAAACCTCTTCCTCTTTATAAATTTAAACTATTACCCACGACGTAGGCTGTATGTTAGGCACTATGTTATTACTTATAGCCTTCCTCGATAAATGCACCAACCAACACAAATAATTATTGTTTAAGTTTTTTCAGTTTCCTCCACCTCCTTCGTTTTCAGCTTTATATATTGGTATAGAATAGAATATCTTTCTGCGGAATGTTAAGAGTGAAAAGATGAATACAGAAGAAGAAGAACAGATAAAAACGTAATACATACACATATCAACGCATGGACTTGTAGTTGTGTGGTTTATTTTATTATTATAATTGAAATGGGTAGATACGTCTTAGTAAATAAAACAATAAGATTAATTTATAATTATTTATTAGAACTTACAAACTCTCTTGTAGACGGCGCGTCTATGAGTAAAATGTCATTTAGAATTCTTGAGCGCCTCACAAGCTTCCACCATCTCCAGACCCTCCATAATGTAGAGTAGGTTCTCTACAGAGGCGTCCTCATCGTCATCGAACCACAATTTGAGCATGTTTTTCGCACGGGCCTCATCTGTCGCGTTCTCTGTTTCAAAGTACTCTATTTCATCTGGTCGATAGCTGAGTTTGGCTGCTAGTTTCTTCCAGTCCGCTAATTTTGCTGCTACGGAGTCCAATTGCGTGTCTGTTATCATTGTGAGACGAGTTCTTGCTGGTTTATCTTCGTCGGTGGCGTCTGTTGAGTCTGGGACCTGCGAGGAATTTTTCAAAATTATATATAGCTAACAACTACAGTTGTAACTATCTTAACACTGTTATAACCTATTTCCCCATGTGGGACTGATTTATTTTATTTTCATGTCGGCGGTCCAAGTCTATTAGTGACCGCTTATTTTAAAAATGTTTTGTTTAATTTTATATTTAGCATAAACGGTTTATTTCCTTTGTTGACCAAATCTATATCGCTAATAAAAACGAAGTTTTAAAATATTCAAAAAATCTTACGCACGCTAAAAAAAAGAATTGATTAGAAATTAAATTTACATAAAATTGGTGGAAAGTATATAATCAATTACACAATTTTTAAAATATTCTAGAATCTTTACAGAAGAGATATAGCCAACAAATTTAAGAATTTTACCTGTTCAATATCTGTAGCGTCACCTTCCTTCATAAGATCAGCTTCAATTTGTTCCTCGGTCACTTCTTCTTCTTGAGTCTCCTGTGGAAAATAAATTAAAAGTAATAATCTATTTCCTTGCCCATGGGGCGTGTAGCTAGCTAGGTAACCCTACCTAGCTAGCTACACTATACAATGAGTGAGACTAAGTGCACTACACAATGCCTTTCTGTGACACAATTAGTTCGTAAATATCAAGTAAATTAGTTTAATAACATTTATTCCTTTAATTACAAATAGAAAAAAATACTTTTAATATCAGTATAGCTTCATTAAAATATTTTCTTATTCATTAATGTATTGCTTTAATTATTTTTTTCTTTTCAACTTTATTAAGTTTATTTTATCCTAGATTTTTATAAGACGTTTATAAATATAAATCAAGTCCTTTCATAGATTTTAATGACACAGAACCTTAATGTATGTATTTTTTCACCACATCAATCTGACTTAACAAACACCATCTAGTGTTGAATAAGATTACCGTCTTAACAGTCTTGTCGTCGTTAGCACCTGCGTCGCCATTGGCGTTGGCAGCGGCGGCGTTTGCAGCGACCTCGCGAGATATACGCTTCACCTAAAAAAGATTATGTAGACATTTTTATAAAACAATTAAAAAAAAACAGATAAATATAGTTAGTTAGTTGTGTAATTAATCTGTTTTTATTTTTAACCTGCAATTCAGATATTTTTCCTATACTGTCAAGATAGAGACAATAAAAATATTTTATCAATTGTAGTAAGGTTGCTGAGGTATTTACTTAGCACCAATTCCTAAATTGTACTATAAAAGAAGTTATTAACGCATTCATTTAAAATACGTATGATTTTTTATAAAATATATGTAACTTAAATACTGTCTATAGTTTACGCGAGTAGTACATTTAAATAAAACACTAACGTTTTTTTTTATTTGAATATTATTTTACGGCCTGACGTTTCGGATGTATTATAGTAGCCGTGGTCACGGGGAGATGAATGGCGCTAGCGTAGCAGTTTACTTCGACATCAAAGACACCCTCTAACTGCTGCTGCAAGGCACTTCGGGCCGTAGTAAAAATAATTTTCAAATAAGCTCAACTAATATATATGGCATTTTAAACCGTTAAAAGTGTAAACTTGTCGTTATATACCATATCATCCAGATAGTCCGGCAGTCGACCAATCGGGTTGTTAGTGTGCACGAAGAAGTGGGGCGAGCGTCGCACGAGCAGTCTCAACGCGCGCCAACCCCACCCGCCGGTCGTCACACCCCCACTTCCACCAGACAGCATGTAAGACTCTGTAAGTAAACATCACATATATTTTAGTTAGGGGAAAACTTTTTTGCCCTGAATATGTTTATTTCCTATTGAAATAAGTTAACAATGTTTTATTGTCTACTTTATAAGGTATAATTAGTAAAGTATTTAAGTTAATATTATAGTATGTATATAAGTTTTTTATGTATAATCTTATATTCTATTATGTTCTGTAGCAACAGAGAACTTGAATAGGTGTGTGATCTAAATTATATTTGCATTGTGTGTTTTTCCCATGTAAATAAATTACAGTACATGTTTTTCAAATTTATAATGAGTTGGTCTTAGTGTCTCGTGTTTGAAAGTGCAAAGCCCATTTTGTAAGATCTATAGATTATAAATTCCTCACCTAAAGGCGGCATGAAATCTCTTTCTTTGGTACGGCAAGCAGCAAGATTGTCCGGACACAGATTCCACAGTTTGGTTAACTCATTGCTAGAACAATATTTTACAATAATAGTAGTAATATTATCTATCTATTACCCAGTACCAAGGTACCTTTACCTTAGTACTGGATAAATAAAAAATGTGCCCTTGTTCTGAGAACAGAGGTATATTTTTATAAAGACTTACTTTCCCATGAAGTGTTTCTTCTGCGACTCATACTCTTTTATTATATCACCAACTGGTCTTCTTCTTTTCTTCACCCTCCTAACTTCCTCTATTGATTCTGATTGTACTGGTGGTTTTGGTTTCTGAAATTCTATAAGAATTATGTTATGAGTGAATAAACTAACAATTCTAATTATATTCACATATTCGATTGAAGTAAAATGTAATGATGTGATACCTGGACATCCATCATTCTTCCAGTTATTCCAGTGTTCCTCCCTTTTTAGAATACTTTTGACACACTGGGCAAATCGCTTGCCATCTGGTGGAGTTTCTCCTAGGAGCTTGTACACCAGATTTGTGGTTTCCTTCACCCAGTCTAATTGATCAGACTTAAGTTCTTGAGATTCTCTGAAAATTATTTGTTTGATAAGTGTGAAAAGTTATTAACTCATTGATGCTGTTAGGAATTTTTTTTAAAAAGCTTAGTTTTTTTTTATTTCATTATTTGTGTTACTTTGTAGGTGTATAGGAAATGATAAATTCAATAACCTGCATGATTATTTTTTTAAAGAAATAGAACTATAAAATTACTTACAACTTAAATTTAACAGTAGTTGTCAAATACTGAAACAATATAAGAAATTGTATAAGTACACATCGTCTGAAGTTAGAATCAGACAGTTGTAACTCTAGTAACTTCTGGTTGGTTAGAAATTTAGCAAAATAATGCTGTTCTTTGTTTCCTTGCATTTCAACATCTGTGGTTACTGTCTTTAGTCTGTTTAACTTTGACTTCTGCAGCTCTATCGCCTCCAATTTGTATGATGAAAAAGCAGATAATACACTGCCAGAATGCTGAAATTTATAAAAAGTATTTATTATTACATTTGCTCAAGTGAAAAATAAGAAATAGTTAGTTATGTAGCAACTTAAAAAAATAAAAGTGCATATATGTTTTAGAGTACTTTCTATATGATAAGTACCAAAGTTATAGTCAGTATTGGAATAATATTGGAGATTGTAGTCTATACTTACTAGCACAAATGTTTTCCACTGCACTTTATTATAACATGTATTGGGACTCCTAAAAAATTCTTGTAAACTCCAAAATCTGCAGTACAGATTATAATCAATAGTCAGTTTGTTCTTATCATCATCTATCACCATTTCCTCATCTAGAGCATCCTTCAAAGTACCCGATTTGTCACTCCCAAATTCGGTTACATTTTCCAAGTTAAACTCAGACACAATATTAAGTCCAGATCTCTCGGAGAAAGGGAAAAATTTTGCTAAGAACAGCAATATTCGCCCACAAAATACTGTGTTCTGTGATCTAGATAGCCTGCGCAATAGATCATTGCACATCCTCAGTAAATTGTTTTTGCATGCAACAAAAAATAACTCTTCACGCCAAATGTTTACTCCATTTTCTACATAGGTGAAAAGTTTTTCACATTTATTGAGGGTTAAGGCATCGAATATGTCTCCTAGAAGAACGACGGGCATGGTGGGCGTCACCATTTGACGTCTGCATGATTCGATACAGAAACAAACATAGTTTTCAAGCAAACTCGAATCTTCAGCTAGGAGTTCTAAAAGCTTATCCCTAAACGCTTGGTCCATTGAAGCCTTTCTGTCCGTTTCATTTGCTTTTTTAGAGAAGGAATCCAAAAGATCTATGTTGTTAGTTGAAAAGGCTTTAGTCAATACGTCCTATAAGAAAAGAAAGGATTAATACATTTTAAAAATCAAGAAATGGTATATAAATAGGTTATTTTTATTTATACCTTATATTTAACTCGCAACTCATCGAAACCGCTTTTTTCATTCATTTTAACGTTTTACCGTTCACTTTTTTAATTAATTATTAATATATTACACATTAATCAGCATTATGAGTATGTATTTAAGGTTTTCGGTGTATTTCTATGTATACAACAAAATAGAATAGATAAAAGAATATATGTATTATGTTGAGAAGACTAGTCAATTGTAACATTTTAGATAGTAACTGTCACGAAATTGATAATTTTTGAGTCAATTGTCACCTTCATTGATGTTTTGTGTTGTCCGTTTATGTGGCGTCTATATTTTGTTTTAATATTTTTATTTTACTAAAAATTGATTTATTTGTATTATAACTTAGAATAAGTTAATGAATAGGTTTTAATTGTATAAAACGATAGTATATTTAGGAGTAACTTATTTAATTATTCAGGAATGGATCGAAATATGAGGTAAATATGCTTTGTTGTCCCTTTGTATGAAACTCATTATACCTTTCACGTTTGCTTTACAATATATAACAATAGATCTTTTGACGTTTTTATACTCTTCTTTCAAAGTACATTAATATTTCTTCTCCACAGGTAAATCTTTTGAAGCTGTCTAACTAACTAGAATCCATACACGTTTAATTCTTTATTATTAAGTTAACAATTCGTTAACGTAATGTAATTTAAATATTGTTTAAGCACATTTATAAAAATATATTTGCCACATTCTCATATGTTTGTTTTGCTTTGATTAAATAAAAGTACATGTCATTAACCTTATCACTTATCTGAAAACACCAAACAATGTTGAAGATATCTTTTTTAAATTGATATTATTATTTTAAATCTATTTCAATATTTTTACTCTTGTGTTTCTCTCTTTACAAGAATGCTATTGTTGAAAAACTAATTAAATGTTATTAACTAGAGTGTCACATAAAGAACATTATTTTATTTAAGTTTAAGGTAGGTATATTTCTTAGAATTTGGCTGCCACGTGCCTTCCTTAAATAAGATTAGACTTTATTTAATTTACATTTTTTTTATCTCCACAATAATTAATAATTTTGCTAGAAATGTCCAGCACCATACTTTAAAATTAAATATCATTTGTCTTCTCTTGACAATCCATGTAAAACTAAGAAAGTATTTTAAAGCTATTTAACTAAGATCTCTTTCTTATATTTTATGTTTTCATTTCCAGATCAACTTATGTAAACAGCGGACCGAGATCTCTTCCTCACATTGGCAGCAAACGACACAATGGAAATGGCCACAGTGCACCACGGCTCAGCCCACCAGCTCCAACAACAGTCAACATCCATAATAATAACAATATCAGCTGCAACCAACACGATGATCTCATTAATTACATTTATGACTCTTGGAATAAAGTAAGCTTCTTCTTAAATTTGTAGCACTGATGTTACTTTACATTAAAAGTGCTGCTTCATTTGTTACATTAACTGATAATGTCACATTCATAATTATTTTTGAGCACTATTGTCCTTATGCTGATAGTCTTGAGAATAAATTATTATATTTTTCATGTAGTTGCCATGTTACATGAATATACCAAAATATTTACATAGTTTTTTTTTATAATTATTTGCTTGTTTGTTCAAATATAGAAGACTTAAATATATTATTGCTATCAAGGATAATGTGGATCATTTATTAGAATTGTTTGAGCAGTCATAGTCATGTATGTGTCAAGTTAAGATTTTTAGTATAAAGTTTTACTGACTAGAAACAAATGTATCAAATAATTTAATGACATTACATGAAATTTTATGACAAACTATACAGTCTCGGGTTAAGCTATGAGGTCATAGTGCATGTTAAACATTCGCCTTATAATCACAGGTGACACGCGAGTTGGAAAGAGGAAGCGAAGATGCAAAGTACTATCAGGAACTTCCACCGAGGCAGCTGGCTAACTTCAGACCATTTGATCTCGAGGAGTGGTGGGGACGTCGTCTTATTCAGTCGATAAACAGGAACAAACACCGCTCTTAGTTCGCACAGTGTGTATGGATGTCTCATTGTAACAATAAAATTTGTTTTTTCTTCATTCCAGTTTTGGGATTTTTAACTAAAACTGTAATACAAAGAAGTCTGTGGTTGAAATCCTTTTCAGTATAGTAATGTTTTTTTTTATTTCACACTATTGTGTATGGAGTTTTAATCAGTTTTAAACATTTTATCATAATTATATTAACTTTACATTTTAATATTGTTTTTAGTCTATTCTTGATATTTAACAAAACATTGTAGATCACTTCAGAGTTGTTCTTCACTTAAAAATATATTAACATATACACTATAATAAAATTTAAGATTATTCAATTTCAAATTATACATGACTAGACCACTTTTATTAAGCATGTTTCACTCTACTAAAATTTTTATCAGGGATTTAAATGAGCAATAATAAAGTAATAGGTAATAGATAGTAAATAATCATGGTACATATTGATATATCTAATGGCTAACAATATACAATTTAATTATATTGAAAATTTTTATTATACTTATAGTGATTCCGAATAGCTTTTATTGGTACAATGAGATCTCGACGTTGCTGTATCTGACTATGCAGCGTTGTACTTATCGTTGTAATGTGTTTCCTATTTATCTATTTCCACCCCTTGTGAATATCATTTGTATGGGACTGTAGTTGATTGTTCAGTCGCTAGAGGCGTTGTCACATCCCATGTAAAAACTCGGTCTCTATCGTATTTATTTTACATCAATAATGAATCCTTTATAAAAATCAAATTCTGGAGAGATACAATGTCCTTCTTTTGATCTGTTTTAATTGTCAAGATGTGACTTGTAAAGTTATGTGAATGCGCATGGTACAGGGTTAAAATTATTTTAACAGTATTCAGTGAAAATAAGTCATATTTTCTATACTGCATTTTTTAGAGTTAATCGCATTGAATTGAAAAATAATTTCGTCATAAAAATTTTGTTTCCTGACCAACTAAGTTTTCTCTATGTCTCCCTCATTCCGAACACTATATCTTGTCAACACACTAGGTCCATATGAAAAAGGTCTTTTTCATAGATTGTTTGTAATGAAATATATGAAAGTATACTTTTAAATAAACTCTATGTTATTACCCAATGGCAAATCAATAAATACTCCAAACGCCTCGTCTATAAGCATCCAATGTTTTGTTGTGGGATCAGTTTTAAGTGTATCCCCAATGTAATAGCCGTAAAAAAACGTTTCCCCCCCCTTCTGTTCTGTGAACTAAGGAGATTATTAAGTAGGTTTCAAATATTTTAGAGTGCGTTTCTATATATTTAGCCTTTTAAGATATTTTTGTTTAGTAAAAGCTAGAAGTTTGTATTGAATAAAATTACGATTTTTAACTCAATATTGTATTCAACGTTTTCACTATTGGGCATTGGCTAAAAATTTCCAGGATCAGGATTTCATTAGTTTCAACAGTTTCCTGTTGTCTTCTGTAGAGGCGCTAGTAGTCAAGTGAAAGGTTATATAATATTGTTTTTGTCTCCCTGTATTTATTATGCGTCCATATAAATTTAATACATTATTTTTTTATAATTTAATTCTAATAATGATTATTTATCTGTACATCACAGTAATGAATGAATGAGAATTAGTTAGTAATTATCATGTCTTTGCCCTTCTGTCGATAATCATGAAACTATTATGATCACAATAATTATGCTCTTTGACATTCCACAGTGTATTCTCAAGGTAATTTTAGCATTTGAAATGTTGTAAATACGTTGTAGCGCTGAAGCGCTGATAGAATCAGGATTTTAATAAAACACTTTTTTATAAATGCCTTTTTATTTGAAGAAATATCTTATCATTACCATTCGTTTAAAACCATATTGTTTGATATTGTACTAAAAGTGAATTGCAACAAAATACAAAGCTATTTTTAAATTTTTTGACAGTAAAAAAAATTGGGCGGTCATAAAAAAGCGCCAAAGAAAGCTTTTCAAATCTATAAAATGCCAAAAATATTGCAAAAGAATGTTTCTTATATTCAATTTAACGTTGCCTGTACTTCAATAATAAGTACTAAATGTATTTAATTGTGGCAAGTTTTTACTATCCATTATACAATATTATTCTTTAATTCAAATATTACTTATTGCGTAATTAACGTACGTGACTTAACGTTACGTAGTGCAATTTCGCTTACAAAATGTCAGTGATTTTCGTATAATTAAACTCGGTTAATATCGCAACTACAAGAACTGTGAACTACATAGATAATATTAGCTAAGGTATTTGTTCAAAGTTGACTTCTACGGTCGTGTGTCAAACAATAAGGCGCCGTCGAGACCGTATTTACAATTACGTGACGCTCTGGAGCGAAGGCTTAGACACAAGCGGAAATTGCAGCGACTTAAATATCAACGGCAGGTGTACCTCGGGGAATTGTATATCCATGCGGGATGAGGCGGACATTGTTCTGTGTCCGTTTTATCAATTTAATGCAGAGGTTATTTCGTGACCCATAGAGTGTTCATTTTGTTTTGTTCAACTAAGCCACTGTCTGTTAGGCCCAGCCATATGACATCTAAACAAGATGCTCTGTCCATTGACTGGAACTGAGACCCATAACAGCTGCAACACATTTTTAAAGGAATTCTGGAACAGCACAAGTGATTTCATCAGACTAGTTATTCCGAGACTTGTGTAACGTTTATCTAGGCCTTAATCTACCATGCTAGTCTGAAGCCTACCGTAGAGCCAGTGGTGCAGTGCACCGGGAACCTGGATGTTAGAGAGTCTCCAATCTCATCTTTGAAAATAGATTTAAAAAAAATAAAGGTTTAAAACGCGATATATTAGTTAAACTTATTTCTAAATAATTTTTAACTTCGGCCCGACGTTTTAGATGCTTTGTAGCAGCCGTGGTCACGGTGAGACCGCTGCTGCAAAGCAGCCCAAACGTCGGGCCGAAGTTAAAAATCATTTTCAAATAAGGTTAACTAATATATCGAGTTTTAAACCGTTAAAGTGTTTTATTTAAAAGTGTACTATTCGCGTAAACTATAGACAGTATCTAGCCTTATTCAAGTTACACGGAAAGACTGGATGAGGGCCCGATGCTTTATGTATGGAGTTTTGACTTAATTACGCTATCGTAGATGACACATGTCGTCTGTCTACAAATATTTTTGAGTGCATGACTAGACATCGAACTCACGGCTCTCTCTTAACTTACATTAGAAAAATAAGGTTTAAGACGTGGTCGATGAAACCGAGTAGGCACTTTGCGTTACTATTTTAGTATCGCTTCGCCTATAACTTGCTACAAATCGGGACTAAAGGCTTAGTAACTAATGAGTTCATGAAGTTCCATCCAACTTAAACAGAAGCTTATGTGACTAGGTGAGTATGTCGTTTTTGCGGTTGCATTTAACTTAATACTTTTAGTAGTAAGAATATAATTTCGTGAGAATGAAATACCGATTTGCGACCCCGCTGTGCATCAGGCAGACACGGTTCTGTGTCCGCTGCTGTAATTAATAAATTCAGACTTCTAGGTGAACAGGCTTCTGTATTCCAGCTTACTGAAGCTATGTTACCTCGGGATTCCAGCGCAGGATAAATTACCTGAAATAAAACACTTTAACGGTTCAGAACGCGATATATTTCAGTTATACTTTTTTGAGAATTATTTCTAACTACGGGCCGACGTTTCGGATGCTTTGCAGCAGCCGTGGTCACGGGGAGACTTTTAGACGGGAAGTTTTATATGTATTTTTTTATGTTAGAGGAGGGGAGACAACATCAAATCGAGATGTGTAGTCGACTAATTTGGGCTTTGGATATTCGGAAATCCACAGAATAACTTCCAAACTTTTTGTCCGCGGACGGGGATTCGTGATCTGGACTAAATTTCGATTCCTACCACCCATTTATTATCAAAATTTCCAGACGTAGTCCAACTTGTTTCAGAAAAAATATAAATTCGCTGTTAGCCATTATGTATAAAAAATGGTAATGATAACACCAACGAGCCCGTCATTTGTTTATTTTGAACATATCAAAATAAGGCTTCTATTTCACTTTTATAAATCTACAAACACAAACTTTTCAACTGCGGCTCAATGTTATATCGAATTTTTATTTTAAAAGATATTTGTAATTTTTGAATAAACACCTTCTATTCGTTTGTTCGCCTAAACTAGAACAACAGTCAAATTTTGTTTGTTCATCTCATCTGCATCTTAAACTGATGATGATGATGAAAAGCTCAGTGTTTCATGAGTTGTACACAATAAAAGCTATTGTCGAAAAAAACCTGCGCATTTCAAAGGCCTATATTTTCCGCAGTGGAAAATTGGGACAATGGATTTTCAGACGTGGTTTTTTCGATAAACTCTCTATTGTGCACTTAGTTCCGTATGTTGTATACAAGATATTAAATGCGATCTTTTCTTTGATAAAATAATAGATTTTGGGGTCAGTGAGCAGTGGCGGGTGGAAAGTGCCACAGGTGTCGATATTAAACTAAAGCGGCATTTTGAAACGACATTTTAGTTCTACTCGCAAATTTTATTTAAAATAGTGAAGTCGAATATGTGTTTTAATTTATTTATTTCATTAGCAGCCCAAGCTGATGAGTGAGAATCTTAATTTCTTGAAGAATGAATTATGTAAACAAATCAATTAAAATTTTATTAAAAATACAAAATAATTATGTTATGGATTGGACTCGAACTGGATATATTTATTCAAGACCTCTATTATTCACTATCATCTTCAGGAATAAAATTAAATTAATTTCGATATTTTTTTATCTTCTCGATAAAAAATTAGCCAAGAACCCGTTTAGCATTCCTGTTTTATGATTCAAAAACCAAGTAATTTTCTAAAATATTTCGATAAACACGATACGAGGCGTTATAACTAAGAAAGCGGGAAAACTTTCACAACAAACATATAAAAGCAAGGCAGTAACAAAATATTACTTTAGCCAAATTCGTATACGATAAGTCTCGTTTTTGGGACG